AACAGGCAGAAAGAGGCAGCCGTGTCAGGCGCAACGGACAAAGGCCCAAACTCAGGCTCAGTTTCTTCCTCTGGGAGTAGATGGATATATGGAGGTGTGGATGGATGGATGGATGGATGGATGGATGGATGGATGGATGGATGGATGGCTAGATAGATGATGGAAGGATGGATGTGTGGGTACATGGAGGAGTGCATCCCCGCATGGATGATGGATCTATGCTTGGGTGGATGGATGAAGAGAGGATGGATGGGTTTGTGGAAGCATTGGATGCATAGATGGATGGTTGCCTTCCTGCATGGATAATTGGATGCATGGACAGCTAGATGGGTGAATAGGTGGATAGGCAAATGGGTTGATATGTATTTCCATGACTGGATAGCTTCACAGAGGGGTGACTGGTGGATCAGTGAATGGGCTGGAGAGAGGAGAAAACTTGTGTTTGGATGTGCGTGTGGGTAGTGGGTGGGTCCATGATGGATGGGGGAGGGACTGATGGACAGAGGAAGAGATGGTAAAGGGAGGGAGGCATGGGTAGAACAGAGGTGGAGGGCGGGTGGAGGCATGAACAGGTGAGGAGGAAAGTCGCACGTCGATCTCTTGGTCCTCCTGGAGAAGGGACCATATTTTCCTGGGCTGAGCTGGGATTTGGGTAAAGCAAAGTGTTGCATGCTTCCCCCTCTCCCAGGCATATGTCCGTCTCCGTGAAGCTTCTCCAACCAGGGTGGTCTCTCCCCCACTGCACACTCCTATTGCTGTTGGGATCTTGTCCCACAGAGCCCTCCCCGCGGACCACCTTCCTGACGAACGTCGGGGAGCTGCTGCTGGACCTTAGCAGATGTTGTCCCCAGGAGAGTCCCCACACCAAGTCATCTGCCTTCGGTTCCCACAGAGAGTGAGCCGCTCAGCAACCCCCAGGGGCAGTTCTACGCTGTCCAATCGGGTCACTCTGAGTGGGCATCGTCTCAATGGCAGGGAGATCGTTCTGTTTTGTTTCTGTGCTGTGTGCCCTGTGTCCTGGCCACGGGGGCATGGCCAGCCCCTGCCGAAGGAGGCCACAGTCTAGAGGGAGAGGCGATTCAGACAGTACGAGGCTCCTGGTCGCATCCAGTGGTGAGTGTGGAAAATAAACCACAGCAGCGACACAGGAAGGGCTGGTGGTCAGGGTGGACCCCTGTGAAGCCCAGAGGAGACGGCTGAGCAGGCACTGAAGGAGGAGGAGAGTGGTCCTGGCCGAGGGTGGTCCAGACAGCAAGTACAAAAGCCCTGGGGCAGCATGTGCTCCAGGGGTTCAAGGTCAGCAAGAGGTCACCATCCATGCACATCTGCGCCCCCCCCCCCAGACCCCACACACGCTCACAAGCCAGTACCTCATGTCCAAGTCCTGGTAATCGTTCGAGGTGGTCTCCATCCGGAACATGGCCTCTTCCTCGTCTCTGCAGAAATTGGGGAGAGGGGTGAGGGGTGGCGGAGTACCTTAGCCTTAGCGGGGTGACCAGGCGCATGCTGGGAGACCAGGCCGTGGCCTGGGGTCCCCAGATGAACAGGGAATAGGGAGATCAGGGAGGAGATGGGCCAGGACCCACTTTCAAGCGAGGGAGAGTGGGAAGGGGGGCCCTGTGGGAGGGGAGGGATCTCGAGGGTGAGGATGGACGGGCTACAGGGGATGAGGGACAGACGTGCAGGTGGGACATGGGAAGGTGAGGAGAGGGGGGCGGGCTGCAGGGGAGGGGCAGGGCAGCCAGGCGTGGCTCCCACCTGGGTTTGGAGCACCAGAGGCGGTTGGCAATCATGAGGACGAAGACGATGAACAGGAAGACCACGACAGCGGTCAGGCCCACGAGCCATGGCTGCAGGCGGTACTCGGCAGCTGTGAAATCAGTGAATCTCCTGAGGAAGCGCTGCAGAGACCCCCAGGCAGGTGCAGGGGACCTCAGGCAGGCAGGCAAGAGGGGCGGGGGTCTGGGGAAGGGGCGATCCTCTGAGGCGGGGGAGGTGCTTAAGAGAGGGGGCTTGTTCTTGGGGACCTTCGAGTCCATACAGAAGGATCCATGCTGAGATGCCCCTAGGGTTTGCGGGCTGCTACCTTTAGGGGAGCAAATGGCCAGGCCTTGCGGCCGGCCATGCCGCTGGGGGCTCGAAGGTTTGGGTCAGCAACCCAGCTTGCCTATGGTAGTCCCACGACCACCACCACCACCACCACCACCACCACCACCACCACCACCACCACCGCGGTCTCCTTCCAGAGAGGAGGGCAGGCCTTAAAAGGGGCCTTGAACAAGGGAAAGCTGTGGACATGGGAGGGGGCTCAGGAGAAAAGAGGGGTCTGGGGGAACTTTGGGGGCATACAGGGAGGGGAGTGGCTAGAGGGCTCAGGCGGGGACCTGACCTCACCCCCCTTCACTCTGCCCCTCTTCTCAGATGCCTCAGTTTCTCTTGGAAAATAGAGACACGGCAAACCGCAGCCACCCGCCCCCCCCATCCCCCCCGCACCCCCGCCCCATCCCTGCCCAGGACGGAGGCTGCCCTACCCTGCTGGGCCTCAGCAGTGGAGAGGAGAAGTACCAACGGGAGGAGGGCGCCCAGGGTGTCCATGGCAGACAGCGGGTGTGTGGTCCTCGGTCCTGTGCGTGGCCACAGAGCAGGGGTGCGGGGTGTGGGCCGTGCCCTCGTCACTGCCCACCCTCGGGAACCTGCTCCCGCCTTCCCAGCGCCCAGGACAGACTCTGGACTCCTGTAACAATTAACCTGGGGAGAACCCGCCTCCCTGCCGCCAGCTCCTGGACCAGCCCCTGTGGGCAGGCCTCCAGGTGACCAGGTGGCCCTGGCTCCCCCAGCAGCCCCTCCCACCCACCATCCACCCCCGCCAGGGCGCACCAGGACCCACTTACAAACCGACAGGTGGGAACATAGTTAGGATCTGAATATGATACAGCGTCCATGCCAGAGCCTTATGAGGCTACATTGTATTTCCTCGGCTCCTGCCAGGCACTTAGGAGACGCGGTGGCACAGGGGTTGGGCAGCCAGGTGCTAACCCACCGGAAGGCCCCCTGTTCAAACCCACCAGCTGCTCAGTGGGGGAGATGATAAGTCACTGGCAAGCGTGGCTGCTACTTGAATGGTGGGTGGGGTAGCCCTCCAAGAAAGGCCTGCCATTCTGCTCTGGAAAATGCAGCCCCTGAAAACCCCAGGGGGTCCCAGCTCCCCCCTGACACCCACAGGGTGGCCAGCAAGCAGAGGTGATGTCACAGTGCTGGTTGTCCGTTCTCCGGGAGGGGTGGTGGTAGAATTCTCGCCGCCCATTGGGAAGACCGGGGTTCGAGTCCCACCCCAGACACCTGTGCCCGGGGCGGAGAGGTTTGCATGCACTGCTAAAAAGACAAGCCGATCCGTGTTGGAAGAAGTCCGGCCAGAGTGGTCCTTGGAGGCAAGGGTGGCGAGACTTCAGCTCACAAAGTTTGGACGTATGGTCAGGAGAGACCAGTCCCTGGAGAAGGACATCCTGCTGGGTGAAGGGGAGGGGCGGCGAAAAAGAGGAAGGGCCTGGACAAGATGGACGGGCACAGTGGCCGCATCCATGGACGCAGGCACAATGACCACGGTGAGGATGGCGCAGGACCGGCCACAGGGTCCTAACAATAAGCCGCTAGGCCCGCTTCAGCAGAGCTTCAGAGTCAGGTGAACTAGGACGAAAGGCCTGGCCACTGAGTTGTGAAAAGCAGCCAGTTCATACAGCGCCCCACTCTGACCCCAGGGAGGTCAGCGCCGGCAGTCACACAGCCGTGACAGAGCACGGCCATGCGTCTCCTTTGCCACCAGCTGGCCGTGCCCACCCCCGGGGTCCTCACGTGAGCACAAGGATGTCTACGTGTCCATCATCCACCTGCAGGGTTCCCGGGGTGCCCTGGGCAGCTGGTGACTCAGGCTGCTGCCTGCTCGGCCCGTTCACCTCGGTCACTGAGCTGATTAGATAATGGGCCCTGCCGGGGCAAAGGGGCACCCACCCCAATGCCACGGAGGCAGCCACAGCCCAGGCATGTGGCAGGACTGAACTGCCAAAGCCTGTTCCCCTCCCAGGCTGGTGAGACTTCCGCCTGGCCCTGTGCGGGTGGGGAGCCTGCCATCCGTCTTCCTATGTGCATCTATGGAGGTCTCATCGTGGACCTCGGGGCCCTGGGGGCAAAGTGGACGGCTGCCTGTTGGACTGTGAACCACGGCTAGCGACTCAGAGGGAGAAAGAAGAGGCCGTGTAAGACCTGCAGTCTCTGAACCCTAGGGCGCCGTCCGGCTGTCCTGTCAGGGGTGCGATGAGTCAGAGTCCACTGGGCGGCAGGGGGCTTGGTTTGGGGTTCAGTGGCTGGATACCTGTTCTTGTGCCCACATCCCCAGGGGCTGGCTTCCCCCAGCCAGATGAGCATCTACGTAGCACCCACTGTGAGTGACACCATGGGAGGAGCCCTGGTGGTGTAGTGGCGATGCGTTGGGCTGCTAGCCACAAGGTCGGCAGTTCGAAACCACCAGGGGCTCTGCTTGAACGAAGGCGAGGCTTTCTATACTCGTGAGGAGTTAACAGTCCTGGAAACCCACAGGGCAGGTCTACCCTGTCCTGCAGCCTCACTATAGAACCGAGTTGGTATCAACTGCATGGCAGTGAGTTTGGTTTGGGTGTGGTGTCCCCCCACCCCTGACAGTTTGGTGGATTAGGAGGAGTTGGGCTGCCAGCACGAGGTCAGAGTTCGAATCCACTGCTGCTCCGGGGGGAGAAAGAGGAGGCTTCCTGGGCCTGAGAAGACCTCGTCTTGGCAGTTCTACTCTGTCCGCTAAGCCTCTGTGAGCCGGGATCCCCTCGATGGTAGGGGGCTTTTGGTGGGTTCACCCTGTCCTGGGGAAGGATGGGGGGATGTCCCGTACTGTCCTCAGTGGGAGATGGGGGTCAGGTTGTCCACCCCGAGGTCAAAGGGGACACAGGTGGGCAGGGAAGGGAGGATGTGATGCCGCAGTGGGTGGGGGCAGGGGGGACAAGCCCCTCCTGGCAATTTCGGCATTCCAAGTAAAATCAATCAATAGGGCTTTTTTTTTTTTAAGCCTGAAAAGCTCTTTACTGTTGGACCTCGGCTAACTCATTCCCTGCTCAGTGCCTCAGTGTCCCCCTCTGCCAAATGGAGGGAGGGCTGCTCACCACCACCCCGGGCCCCCTCCCCCGGCCCCCCACGGGGGTTAAAGGAGATGTGGGCAGAGATACCTCCGCACAGTGCCTCTAGACACACAGAAGCCCATGGGAACTGTGATAGAATCCCGGGTGCCCACTCAGGGGACCCCGCGTTCGAGTCCCAGTCCATGCACCTTGTGTGCAGCCACCAACCCCCATCTGCCAGGAGGGCCCCTGGCGGGCTGATGCCGCGGGAACTTTCAGACCAAGACGAGGCGCCCTGGGGGCATGAGGGTCGGCATGTTCAAGACACCAGGTCGGCAGTTCAAACCCACCAGCTCCCACCAGCCGCTCCTTGGGAGAAAGAGGAGGCCTGCTTGGCAGGCAGCTTGGTTTGGGTTTGGTTTCAGATGAAGACAATCGGCCGGTGAGAGCCCGGTGGACCGGGCATGACGCCTGCCTGGGCAGCAGGGTCGCCACGAGTGCCCCCACGGCAGAGAAGGTTAGCTGTTACTACTTAAAACAGCAACAAAACTTTATTGGTGGTCCTGCTTTACAGACTGTCAGAGTAGGTTCAGCTGGGGGGTGGGGGGGAGGCGTGGCCAGAGCCCCAGTCGGCATCCCGAGCGGTGGGCGGGGCCGCGGAGACTGCTCCGTTGGCACTAAGGCCCATGCTACTGGCTCCCAAAGGGCTCGCAGGCTCAGTCTAGCTTCCAGAAACTGCTGCGGCCCGGACCGGTGGCTCCTTGAAGGTGATGGAGGGGCCGGGAGGGCCCGGGGCAGGGGTTTCCTGGGGGACCCCCGCGTCGTCCTCTTCCTGCCAGGCCAGGGCCAGTCGAAGGTCCAGCCCCTCCAGGTCCTCACCAGCCAGGCTTGGGCAAGACTCCTGGGGGGTGGCTTCCTGGTCGGGCTTCGGCCCGAAGGCCCAATCTGCAGCCAGTTGAGTGAGTGGTCTCTCCCCGGCCCTGTGCGCCCACCTTTCTGCGCCAAGACAGACCACCCCCACCAACCTCTCCCATCTTCAGTCTCGAGGCACTGCCCCCAGGGAGACACTCGGGTTCCCAATGCCCCAACCACCCACCAGCCCATGGCACTGCCCCGAGACTTTAGGTCCTTGCCCACCCCATGGCACTGCCCCATGTCATGCCCTGTCCCTCCTTCACCCTGGACTGTGCCAAGGGCCATCCGGCCTCCGCAAATGTTCTGCCTCGTTTCTCTGGCTAAGACAGTGCCCCCTGATGCCCCCCATCACAAACCCAGCCAGGTGGCCGATGGCTGGTGGCTCACCTGCCAGGTCGTGGGCCAGGTCCTTGATGAGGTGACCAACAATGGCGTAGGCCACGGCCACCACCAGCAGCCCAGCCAGCAGCAGGTACAGCACGTCCCGGGGCAGGTGGATGGTGTCCAGTGGGGGTGGCTGGTACTCCTGGTACAGCGGTGGGGCCAGGCTTTGTCCCTCAGGCCCCTCCCTGTCCACCAGCCCCGGCATTGCAGCCCCCAGTGCCCAGGCCCAGAGGTGACTGCAGGGTGGAAGTATTAAGAGGATTGTGGATTCCCCCTCCGGCACCATCTGCTGGGATTAATCCTAGCATGTTTCTCCCAGAGGCCCTGGGCCCCAGCCAGACCTTGAGAACACCCTGCCCCAGGCTCCCCTCCCTTGCTTCCTTCATTCCCCCAATGTTTATGCTGCAGCAGCTGGGCCAGGAGGGTCCCTGGATGCCAAGGTTATGTTCTCAGCTAATGGAAAAGCTGGGGTTCAATTCCCCGCCTCCCCCGCCCAGATCTGCATGAGAAAGCTGTCTGCTTCTATCAAAGTCTAAAACCAACCAACCACACCTTGGGCCCAGCAGCCTGGGAAACCCTAATGGTGAGATCAGCGTTTGCCCTACAGGGGCGCTGTGAGCTGAAATCGCTTCATGGGTCGTGGGGTTCTGGGTTACAGTGGCCAGGGCCGGTCCTCAGAGCTGGGACTCAGCCATGCCAAGGCAGATGGACACCTCCGCCCTAGTGGAACTTGGCCTGTTGTTAAGTGTCCTGGATTTGATGCCCCCTCACAGTGACCACGAGTGTCAAATTGGGTTTCCAAGTGCCAGGCCTTTGTTGCAAAGTGCCTGTGTGTGGGGTCGAACTTCCAGCCTTTGGGTGAGCAGCCGCAAGCTGCCTGCAGCACAGTCACGGCGATGGTGCATGGCGCTGAGGCAGGTGGCTGGGCAGAGGGCACCAGGGGCGGTTCCAACTGCTCCCTTCTCTCTTGAGGTAGCGAGAGAGCTTACTCAGCAGTGAGGAGGAAGGCGGGTGGGACACTTAGCAGAGGCATGGGCCAGGGGCCGGGAGAGGGCCATGCAGCCGGGTAAACGGACAGAGGCTCTACGAATACCGAAAGGGCCCTGGACTGCCGGAACGAGCACGTGTGTCTTCGAGGAAGCCAGCCAGGGCGCTCCTTAGAAGCGAGGATGGCGAGACTTGGTCTCGTATGATCAGAGACCAGCCCGTGGAGAAGGACATCGTGCTTGGTGCAGTAGAGGGGCGGCGAAAAATAGGAAGGCCCCCAAGGAGAGGGGTTGACACAGTGGCTCTAACAATGACCTGAGGTACTACAATGGTGAGGAGGGTGCCAGGCTGCGCAGTGTTTCAAAAGCCACAGGCCGGGCTCTTGGCTGTACTGACAAACCCCTTCCTCCGTGCCCCTAAGGTACCTTGGTGGCACAATGGGTTGAGCCTCGAAGGTTGGCGGTTCAAAGCCACCATTCTGCCCCTGTAGAGCTCCATCCCTGAGTCACTTTGCCCTTCAGGCAGTCACGTGGCCGATTGGTGTATTTGGTAAGAGGAGCTAACTGTCATGAGGGTTTGGGGAGAGTGGGAATGGAAGGCTGTTTCCGCACCCCCACCCTTTCCTCCTCCCCCACAGTAGTACAGTAGGCCCAGACTGGTGTGTGTGTGTGGGGGGGTGCCCACTGTCAGGGCTGGGTTGAGATGATTCCACAAACGTCCACCCCTATCTCAGCCCCTCTCTGACAAGCACATACAGTCACCCCCTCCCTCTCCCAGCACACAGAGGCATCAATAGTTGGCAAAAATAATTTAATACTCCACTGCCCAAGAGTACCTCCCCACACCCACTGGGCCTGGTCACTACTACCTGGGGATGGGTACCCACGCCACCCCGGGGGACCACATTCCTTCTTCTAAGAGGCAGCTGCGCCCTATCTCAGAGTCCCAACCCTGTACCCCGACACCCTGACACGGGCAGCCCAGTGCTAGGCTGCGGACGGCGTACCAAGTGTCCTGGCAGGGCCCCTCCGAGATGGAGAGAGCAAGGGGCATGGGGAGTGAGCCAGTTGCACACATTGGGTAGATACACCAAAATCCAGGCAGCTCTGGTGGCATCTGAAAAATTCCAGTGTCCCAGCCCCCAGGGCATGCTTCTAGGGGAAGGGGGAGCCTCCAATATGGGGCGGTGCCCATCACCATGGGTGTGGCTTTCCAGAGGAGTGTGTCCCTAGGAGGGGCAGCGGGGGCGGAGCTCCAGGAGGAGGGAGGCAAGGCTCCTGGGGCGGGGCCTCTGGGGTGGGCTTAGGAGGGCGCCTGGCGCAGGCGCTCGAGCCCGTCCGCGTACTGGAAGGCCTGTCCGCTTTCGTGCTCGTACATGTCCAGGGCCACCTCGCAGCTCTCCCGCACCACGCGCTCGGGGTCCTCGGCGTGCGCCCGCAGCGCGGCCAGGCAGGCGGGCCGGGCGATGGCGCCCAGGGCCTCGGCGCACTCGTGCCGCACCATGGGGCTCTCGGCCAGGCGGGCCAGCGCCGCTGTCAGCTGGGGCACGGCCGCCTCGTGCTGCAGCTGGCCCAGCACGTAGCCCACCTCGTGGCGGAAGAGCGCGCTCCCGCAGCGCAGGCCTGCGGGCGGGCGGGAAGGAGAGGGGGGCTGGGGCTGGGGCACAGAGGGGGGGCAGTCGGGGGAGGGGGGCTGGGAGGTCCCGCCTCTGGAGGGAGGGGTCAAAGGCGAGCCATGGGCAGAGGGCGTGGAAGGAGGGACTTGGGGAGTCCCCTGCTTACCTCTAGGAAGGCTTGCTCCCCCTCCCCCAGTCCCTCTGGGACCACCTATTCCACATCACCCCCCTCCCCCAGCCCCGTAGACAGGGTGCGTCTGCGTCTGGTAACTCAATTTCTGCTCATTTTTCCCCAGGTCAATTCTCCGCCCGAACCCCTGAGTTCCCCGGGCACCCTCCCTCGCTGTCCCTTCGCCACCCAGGGCCCTGCTCACCGTCAGCCAGGGCCAGGGCCGCCTCCTCACCGCCGGCGTTGCGCAGGGCGAACATGGCCCGGTAGCGATCGAAGAGCGGCAGGGTCTCATCCAGCAGGGCCTCCCGGAGCCGCCCCACGTCGCGCTCCTCGGCCGGCGGGGCCGGGTCCACCGACAGGTAAGGCCCGGCGGCTGGCTCCCCGCGGTGCTGCTGCAGCCACTCCAGGCGGCGCACCGCCAACTGGCACGTCTCTGCCACCTGCCAGGGGGAAAGGGCAGCGTCACTCCACTCATAGGGGCAGGGCTACGAGCCTCCTGAGCTGCCCACTGGGGACACAAGGTGGGCAGGACAGAGCCCATCCCAACTCTAGGGATTTATGGCTTGGTGGGGACGAGGGACAAACAGTAAGAAAGTAAACCAGCATAGGGGTGGCGGTGGTGGGGGCCATCAGGGAGGGCCTCCATGAAGAGGTGATTATTAGAGGAGAGACCTGACCCAAGTGGGGGTGGGGGCAGAGCACACCGGGCAGAGGGTATAGCCTGTGCAAAGGCTTTGGGTAGGACCAGGCCTGGCCGACTGGAGGATGAGCAAGGAGGCTTGGGGCTGCAGTGAGTGAGTGAGCTGGACAGAGCTGCACGGCCGGCGGACAGACACCGCGCAGGTGTGAGGAGGAGCCTCGCACAGCCTGTGCTGG